CACGGGGCCGTGCGTAGCCACCACGCATAACGGGGAGCTGAATTTGATAAATTCAAGTTGTAGATGTGTTTAGAACATTTCCCGAAAGTTTCAGCCTCCCAGCTTCCCTGGTTCCGGAGTTATTCATTTTTCCCGCCAAAAATTTTCACGGGGCCGTACGTAGCTGCCACGCACATTCGGGGACTGAATTTGATAAATTTAAGTTGTAGATGAGTTGGGAGCATTCTTTGACCTTTCCCTTTTTTTAGGTTTCAATAGTCCTCACCATATCTGTAGCACAGGGCTTAACGGGCAACCGTACCCGTCATCCATACAAAAAATTTTTAGCTGATCGTGTAAGACACCAGCCGAGCCGAACCGAGCCGAGTTTTAGTAATTGCTGAGATTAAAACTCAAGTTTTGGAAATGAAAACTCTACTAGAGCAGCACCAGCTACACATTCGCGAGAATGCACGTCAGATTGAGCAGAACGAAAGAGTGAGCCGTTCTTTAAGCGTGCGCCTCTCTGGTTTCCGTTTCGCTAAATCCAAGATCACTGTCACATTGGACGATGGTACCACAATCGAACGCGTGGATAAACCCTACGACCTTTTTATTAAGCTCCTGATTGATGGTGTCAATGGATCTACTGAAGGCGCTCACAGCCTCGCGCTAAAAGGAATACACTAGACTGGTCGACTTGGCAACAAAGGTATTCTGGTATCCTTTTTGCGCGTTGAGAATAAAATAAAATTTGATCTTTGGAAACATAAATTGGCTAAAGACTTTAAGCTACACGGTCGCAGTATTAGCATTCGAAACGACCTAACGAAACTTCAGTACGAATTTTCACAAAAGGCGAGAAGCATGGCCAATTTACATCGATCGAAAGGTTTTTACGTGATTGCTTCTGACATGCGTATTGAATTGGGATCACTCCCAAACCGAAAATGGTATAACGCTGATGATCCCGCACTCCGTGAAACTGTCTCTAATGCCGAGAAGATTTAATGCTCTGTTTTGCTGATGTCTCAATTACCCGCATTAAATTTGATATATTATACTCTATTTCGCTTTGCCTCAAATGCTCGCATTAAAATTCAATGTTTCATTCAGCCTATGCCTGAACTGTTTGAATTTACATTGTTTATGCAAATTGCATTTTATTTCATTTCTTTTCTTTCTTCATTTCAAATATTTTTTGGAATTACAATATCGCTCTTTCACTTTATTATATATTCTTTAATCAGGATCTTCTGATTCCCGCCTCTTATCTATGCTGAATTTTAGTTTAGAATTTTAGTTTAGATCTTTATACCTTTTCGTATTTTTGGAATCCCATTCCATTTGCCTTCCATTAAACGTCATTTGTTCAGGATTTGAAAACATTTTAAATTCTCTGGTTTAAACGCTTCCCAGTGACTATTTTTATGGCATTTTCAACATCTGGCAGCCTGTTGATTTCCAATTTTATTGATCTCATCCGTTGCCAATATATTGCCATTTTTTAAAAAATTTTACCGATTTTGTCGATTTAACTATTTTTAGCTGCTCTGTTGAAGTTTCTTTTTCCTACAACAACTGCTGTTGGTACAACTGTGTTTTGGTTTTATCGAAATAAAGTCTAGCTATACTTCCACTTACCACCCGATATTAAAATTTTTTAGTTTGGGCCCTTCCGAATAGCCCAAACACCACTTCAGTCTTCCACTTCGTTATTCACAATCAAACAGTAAACTTTTCTCGGCATTTATACCACTACACTTTGTTTACTGCCTCAGGTACATCCACTTTCCTATCCCCCTTCTCTAGGAAACCCTAACAATCAACGCATGCTCGCATCATAACAATATTATTGTAATGCGACGCGCATCACAGGATGGGAATAGGGCGGATGGCCCTCATTCCAAATTACTACATCTAATCATTTTAATTATTTTACATCCTTTTAAATTCATCAAATTACACTTTAGACACTATAATATTTAATTACATCCCAATACACTTTATTAGATTTGCTACAACTTCGTTATACTTTATTATATATTTATACGTTCTGCTGGAATACTACTCTAGTATATGTCTTAACTACGTATATGTATTCTCGTATATATCTTAACTACGTATATGTATGTTCCATAAGATACATCTTGCCATGATATGCTTCGGTTTCACATTCTCTTGACTGTCAGTTAAAAAACCACAATTGTGATACTTCTTTGCCCTACCGGCACGTTTACTTTTTCCACATATATACTCATTGCCACACCATTTTTTCTTCATCATCTATTCGTCACTCTTCACAAAAGGTGAAAAACGGATCTTACATCAATCTCGGATTTGTTGATTCTAACGGCTCACCTTTTTACGTGTTGTGTAACAAGCAACTTCCGAATGGTTCCACGGTACCTGTTACGCCGGCGTTTCATACAGCCCAATTGCAAAGACAAGAATGAAGAATTTTTTCTGCACAAAAAGAAACAATTATTAAGTCGAAAAACTATGAAGTATGCGAAAACTGCGAGTGAAAAAGGCATCGTATTTGGTCAACTATCGCATTGCAAAAGCGGGCGAAGCGCACACTATCGCTGAGAATTTAATAAAACCATGTGTGCACACATAACACAATGTATGCTTGATGAAAAATCTGCAAAGCATCTTTCTACAGTGCCGCTTTCGAACGACATTGTTTTGCGTTGAATTAATGATCTCGCAGACTATATCAAACAAAAACTAGTTGGTCGCCTTCGGCACAACAAATTCGTTTTGCAAATGGATGAGGACTGATGTTGCTTGCGAATGGATAAGTCGACTGGCCATATTGCTGATAATTGTACGATATCCATATGAACATTCGCTCGAAGAAGATTTTCTTGTGTGCACACCGCTGCCAACTAACACTGCAGGAAAAGAAATTTTTAGCAAGATTAACAATTTTTTTGAAATAAACTATCTCAGTTGGAACGATTATACTGTTATTTGTGCACGTACGACAATGACTGGAAAAACAGTAGGAGTGGTGTCACTGATAAAAAGCAAAGCTCAAAACAGTAGTTCCAGCCACTGTATCCTGCATAGTCAAGCACTCTCGATAAAAAAAATGCCGCCAAATTTAAAATTGGTTCTAGATGAAGCAGTAGAAATAATTACTTTAAATCAGTCCCTCATCAGTACCGGCTGTTTTCAATATTGTGTGAAGATTATGGGAACAGACATAAAACACTACTACTCCACACCGAGGTTAGATTGTTATCTTGGGGTAAGATCTTAACAAGATTACTCGAACTGAGAGCTGAATTACAAGTTTTTATGACTGACATTTCTTTTAAATTAAAGAACCGTTTGAGCGATGCGACTTGGTTGTTCAGACTAGCTTTTTTTGGCAGATATATTTGGAAAAATTAATGAATTAAATCTATTTTTAAATGGAAAACAGATAACAGTTTTCAGTACTAGTAACAAAATAACCGTTTTCAAGAAAAAATTAAGTTTCTGGATTGTTTGTGTTGGCAAGAGAGAACGAGAAAGCTTTTTAACACTGAATATGTTCGCTGGTGAGATGTCAGAATTATCAAATGAAACATTTGGAGAATTTGTCCTATGTTTCCAAGTTATGCACGTATCTTTTGAGGTGTATTTTCCTGAAGAGCAGAATGCAAAATTGTAAGTGAATTCATGGGTTCAGAATCCTTTCGTAGCGAACTTGCGCAAGCCAGAAAATATGTCAAACGAAACCCATGAATCCTTTTTATGCGTTTTTGCCTATATGCAAATTGCAACGTAGGCTGAAACGCACCAGGCGAGCCGGAGCGATCATGCGTTTTTGCACAAAACTTGAATT